ATCATATGAAATATAATAGTCATAACACTGGAAAGCACCTAGGAGTTTTAACAAGAATGGCGCGTAAACTTGGGTGGCCTTCGTTACATTGAACTGTGTCTTCTTGAAAAAGACACAGTTCCATAAACTAGGTTTCAAACTGAAACAGGAACTTAGATAAATAGGCAACATGATGAGGCTTAACAATTCTACAGAAATTTAATAAGTAATAGGATCTACTAAAAGGTTAAGTACAACTACATAGTCTGTAATTTCTTAATAAAAATAATTTTAACAATCTGTTTTGTACAAATTGAAAACAGGCAGTTTAGCGGTTGATGAAATTCTTTTGTTTTATTGATATACATAGGTATAGTAAAGAGACTATTTTATAGTCAAACAAAATCTGCAAAGATCTGGATTTTTTCATTTTAGGGTCATTTAAGACCCTAAAATGTCATTTAAAAGCTAGACAGAAACTGTTTCTGAAATTTATCCGTAAATTCTAAAGTATGTAAATTTATATTTACATCACTATTTTTTTACTCTTTGTGATGTACGGTGTACTTAGTATGTACTTGGACTCTACAAATCGTTTTAATTCTGAAAAAATTAAAAGGTAAGTGTTCAACAAAATCTTTGACATTTTTAATCCATTTTGTAGCGTTAGGGAAAAAAGTCCTGAGTCTTAATAGAAAAAAGTATTAATCATCATTTTTTGGAGATTAGTGGCCTATCACAAACAGAAATAGCTAAAAAATTAAAGATTTAAACACAAACAGTTAGTGCTTTAAATAGGAAAAAAAAAAATAGAAACGTTGAAGCTGAAAAAGTAGTAAAATGCGGTCGTATAAAAATCACTATACCTATACTTGAAAGAAAGATCAAATAAATGGCCCTCAGTAGTAGAAGAAGTTCTTACAAGAAGTTATCTATGGAATTATCACGTCAGGGCATTTATGTAAGCCATAAAATAGTAAATAGATACTCGTTGGATCAGAGATTGAAGGCATACATACCAATAAAAAAGTCTAGACTCACAGATAAAATGAAGCATAACTTTTTTTTGCTTCTTTTTTTTTTGCTTTTTTCTAGAATGCTTAGAGCAACTTATCTCTTTTTTTCTACCCCTTATAGTGAACATTAGGCTCAAAACCATTTTGAAATATTAAGATCAAATTTGCTCAATAGCGTTAAATTGATTTTAGTTAAAATCTTTTGAAAAAGTGCGTTAATCCACTATAGGTGGAATGCAAGAAGCAAACTTGAGTCAAATTCGACTTGAACTTTACTTAGTAATTAATAGTGGCAGAGTATTTTTTGAAGGGAAAACCCATACTCTGTCGCTATTGGTTGCAATGTAAAGTTTAAGTCGAGCTTGACTCAAGTTCGCTTCTTGCATTCCATCCTATATGTTCTAATCTGTTTTGTTATATATAAATTAAATATAGTTGTCAAAATACAACAATTCTATAAGTTTTCACAGAAAATGTAAGAGTTATAAACAAGTTTTATAATTATGAATAACTATTGATAAACGATCATAACAGATCATGTTTTTTAAACCATGGTTTTCATTTTACTATACAATGTATTTATTTATTTAAAATCTTATTTAAATTTGGACAAGCCGTTTTTGACTTTTATAAGATTAAAAAAATATATCTTTGATCTGTTATTTTTTTTGCCACAAACTTTTTTTCATAAGGCGCGCTTACGCGCGTTAAAAGTGACTTTACGCGTACAAAAAAAATTTTCTTTATTTTACAGAATCTTCAAGAAAAACACATTATTTTGATATATTACTTTACTTGATATTTTTATGAAAATATTTTTTAAAGAATGTTGATACATAGAGAAAAAAACTGTATTTTATTACTTTAATTTTATTATTTACATTACAATTAATTTTACAACTTCATCTAGTCATCTAAAAGCTTTGCTTGATAGTTTTGGATCTGATCTTACTAGAAGGTAGTGAATCTGATTCATTTCTGTGTTTAACCTTAATATTTTTGCATATTTTTACATGTGGAACTGATTCATTACTGTGTTTATTCTTGATATTTTTAGAATATCCACAAAATATGGTTATGAGAATATTATGCAATCTTTCAATTATATCACAATTAACTTTAGCTATTTCAGATAAAACTTTACTATTTTTAAATGCTCTTCTGGCAGTATTGCCGTCCCGGTTTTAGGCATATCAACATATAGACTTAACCGTTCTTTGAAGAGTACCTGAATTTCTCTCGTTTTAAGTCTACAGATAATTTTTCCTCAATTGTTTTTGGCTTATACATTTTAATTGCAATTTTATAACTTAAAAGAAGAATAAATTCCAAGCATTTTATCCAGCAATGCAAAGTTAAAATTCCGAGCCCCAAGGCTAACTCATTCTCAGTTTTTGCATATAATAAATTCACATTGCAGGATTGAGTGGATTTTGTCTCTGTAAGTGCGTTAACTACTTTATTATCAAACATTGTAAGATCAATCCTATGGCTGATATTAAATG